ATATTTATTTATTAAATTTAATAAATAATTATTAATAATATTTTAAAATTTATTAATTAAATAAATAAAACACGAATATAACAAAAGTTCATTTATATCTATTCGTTTACTTCCACATCGACTATATGAGATAAGATAGGGGAGACCCCGAAGAGGAACTATATAATAATGCAGCCCTCTTTGCCAGGGTAAGCAAACAGTTTCAAAATTCAAAGCAGGCTTCAAATCCTGACATGCTTTCCCACCACACAAGCTAGAAATAGTCACAACCGTCCAATATACAATGTCCCCCTCTCTTCATAAAAAGTATTTGAAAAGAAAAAAAAAAAACAAAACAAAACAAGAAAAGAGATATGCAAGATCCAATCTGGAGTAACTCATTATCTTTTATGAATTGAAAGGATGAGAAAAAGTGGAAGCATAAAATGGACCAAGAGAGAAGCTTGGGAATGAGGAAATCAATGTGCAATGGGGTGCCCTTACATTTGGTTGGTAGGACATCGTTCTTACAATTATTTCCATGTTGGGCATTTTCAATTTGCTGATTTTTATAATTGCTAAGTTCTTTTCTTTTTTTTTTTTAATTTGATTTCCCTATTCATGGAGTACACCTCAAAAGCTAGATTCAAATATCTTTATATGATAGTGATTATTGTGTTTAAGCCATTAAGATTTTGCAAACAATAATTAATTCTAGTAGAACCATCAACACTTTAAATTAGTCCATATTTCTATCTTATAAGATTATTTGTCTGGAATTTCTCTTTAACTGAATTTTTTTATATTTATAAGTTATCAAAAATTAAATTTTAATTATAAAAATTAAGAATCTAATAATATATCAAATACTTTTGTTGGTATTGATTTTCGAATTGATAATAAAATCTTTGAAATTACATAAAAAATAAAAAGCAGTTAAAGATAAAATATATTCTTTACATGTGCACTCTAATGCTCCAATCAAATATTGATTATAAGATATCGAAAAGAGAATGAAAAATAAAAAAAAATAAAAAAAAGTAAGATTTAGATAGATAATACTTGAATGGTTTTGTTTATAGATGAAAGATAAAAAATTTATAGAATAAAATAATGATGTAACCAAGTTAATGTGATATTGTACATATTAAAATGATTTAAAAATTGAAATAATATATACTGACAATTTCTAATAAAGAAAAAATCAATTTGTCATTTGGATCCAAAAATACCCTAACAGCTCCCTTTCTACATGATAAAGATTCAATGCTTTTTAAAAACATTCGGGTTGCAGTTGGGGAGATCAGCTCCATCCCCTGAAACCAAAATCAAAATGTCGGTGTAGGCAGCAAATTACCTCCTTGGAGTCAAAAGGTCCTGGACAATGGGTAGAACCACATTGAATTGATCTAACCTACAAGGTTTGGGCTTGGATACAAAGAAATGACAGGGGAGTAAAATTTGTTATACCTTTCATTTGCCTTATGAAAGAGAGGCTTATTTTCTTTTGTTAAAGTAGATAAATCACATCCAACGGTTGGTAAAGCACCACCTTGACATTGTAAGCAATCATAAATGCCCAGACAACAATTTTATTTTCAGTGGCCACAGTAAATCATAGGACTTGAAAGAAAATACAAGCAGAGATTTTTTTTTTTTTTTTTTAATTTCGCATATCGGTTTAGACTTTAGACAAGTTTTTATTCCCTTAAAAAGTCATACAATTGCTTCTTTTTCTTTCTCCTGTTTCTTCTATCCATCAACATCGACTACTTGCACAATATGAAACTCACAATGTTAATATTCATCCCAAAGCAAAACAAAGAAAAAAAGTAGTTATATGAATTTAAACCGACCGTTGACTCAAGTGATACAAAAGTCTGCTTTTCTTTGTTGTTTAGATTTGAATTTGGTAAGAGATTGTAAAAGAATAACTTTTCATTAATTCGTTAGATTTAAATAAATTTATTTAGATTGACTTGGATAAGAGATGTGTTGCATAAAGTCAAAGAACTCTTTAATGCTAAAAAAAGCATAGGTTAGAGCAGGAAAAAATATCATGGTAGGATAATTCTAGTTTTATACCCCCAAATTCCCCTGTTTTTCTGTTTGAATGTAGGATCCAAAGAGGTGAAGGACAATTGAAACTTGACTTGCAACCTTCCCCACCCTTATGGGGTGGATGGCTAACGTTCCCTCATGCCAAGTTGTGAATTCACACCTAGCCTCAACGAAGGAAGTTAATGTTATAGCACAACTAGAATTAGGCCTTTACTGATGTGATCAACAACGTTTGGATTTATTAACTGTTTCTCAAGGTCTTTGTCAATGTAATTTGGGCATCTTTCCACCAAAAACAGTGCTGTGCTGCTTAAAAGAACCAGGAGAAAAGTCTACACATGACATAGTAAGGACTCCATGAATAGCAGGCCTGAAAAATTGGAGTTCAACTAAATTTGCTCAATAGACACCAATAACAGTATGGGAAACTAAACCTAGCAAGAAAAAGGAAACTACATAATGAAGATATTATAAGATCGTTTAGGAAGAGATTAAGCTCAAAAATAATTTGAAAATACCCTTGATTGCATTATAAAAAAATAAGATAGGGTATATCTTAATCTTAACTCTTATCACCAATTAAATGCAAGGGAAATTGCCTGTTTGATTATGCTGCATCATTGAATTACAATTGCTACACTTCACTAATCAAAAACTAACATTTTCTTATGAGCTCAATGCATAGTTTTATGTTCAACAATTGATATACTTCAAATACATTCCATTTGTTTTCAACAGGCTGACTGGTATTATATGAACTCTATTAAACTTTTGGTTTTACTTTGTAACGACAGAAATGAAAGAGGTTGAAGAGTTCAAGTGAAAAGTGAAGGACAGTTGATATACTTCAAATATGTTCCATTTTTTTTTTTCTTTTTTGGCGTCAGACAAGAAAATAAGAATCAGTGTCTCAACTCCCAATCAAGTTCTTTATCCTTTTCTACCCACCTCTTTCAAACATCCCTCTTGCTTGTCCTGTACCCAAAGCAAAAGACAGCAGGATATTAAAGGGAAAGAGGGCTCGGCTCATAATCAGGGTGGTCACCTACATAACCTGGGTCTGACCCCTTCAGCCCCTGACAAAATAACTCGTGATAAATGAGTTTAATAGCCCTTTTGAAAGTCTTAAGCTCCTGTTCCAAATTTAGCCAATATGTCAGTAGAAATTCTAGAGCAGAAGCTGCCACGGATGTTTTTAAAATATGTCCAATTAGTATGCTTTTACATAGTCTCGGTCATGGTTTGGTGTAGGCCGGCAGTTTCTTTTTTAACCATCAGGTCCTTCCTGAATTTTCTGCTTCACTCTTGGACATATATAAATATACTGTATAATGTTGTTAATGCAAAAACATCAATAAATTTATCAACTTAAAGAAATGTCTACAATAATTCTTTATTTTTCTAATCTTCTTTAAGGAAAATTAAACATATTTGTGTATTCAGTGTATAATTTTGGTCTGTTCAGTGGTTGCACAGTCATCTGAAATCCACTTTATATTGCCGGTGACTCGTACTCTGGCATGATTGTTCCAATAATTGCTCAAGCAATATCAGATGGTAACTATGTCTTCATCCTCTTAAAACTTGTGCTTCATCTGTTCTTAATCAAAGAGCCAATGACCAGGATAGTCATGCTGATTCAGGTATAGAAAACAGGAGTATTTTTTATAATACAAATACCATATTAAATATTTCATTATAATTCGAATATTACACAACTTTAGAGTTCAATCCTAACAACTGCTTTGCCATGTTCAAAGATGGATCTCTCAGGAACCTTTGTGAGTAACTGCTATAGTTCCGAGCTGAAAATCTAAGCACGGTGGCGGACCACAATCGGAGCCAGGGGAGCCCAAAAGGGGAATCTTTAGTTTATTGATTAAATAAATATGAATTGGCTCCCCAAATTAAAATATTATATGTTAATTTTTTTTTTGGTAAGAAACAAGAATAAATTAATTATAAAATAATACGATATATAATATGTCCAGCTTCATCAGCGATGACTAAATCTTTAAAAAAGAAAGGAGGTTCATTAAACACCACATAGTTGGTCTCGTAATGATTAGAACTATTACAACAATTGCTAATATCAAACCAGGCGAGGGTGTCAGCACACCTATTCCCTTTCTTAAAAACGTGAAGCATGCGTTGATCTTCAAGATCTTCCATTAACCTTTGGCAATTAGAGATCAGAGGGAGTACCACGGGATTAGTCACCTGATGATTCTTAATCATGAAGATAACAGCTGTGGTATTGAGTTCAATTTCCAAATTGTGGATATTGAATCTTTTCACAAAAAATAATCCATCTCTGAGAGCTCACAGTTCAATCAAAATATTTAAACACACCCTAATATATCTAGAGAAACCAAAAATCCATTTTCCCTCATTGTCTCGAATAATGGCTCCAACTCCTGCTTTTCTAGGGTTACCTAATGCCAAGCCATTTGTGTTTAATTTATACCATCGTTCGTTGGGAGGGTTCCACCTAATGGACACAATGGATTGCAAAGGGGCCCGAATTCCTCTCTCGTTCATTGCAAAGAATTCAGCAGCCTTCGTAGTCACCAATTTCACCAAGTCAACGGTCTCACCATTCTGTCTAAAATTTCTTCTATTCCTTTCAAGTCAAATCTCCCATAGAATATGGATAAACAACAAGTACCAGGGGATACCATGCATGGATCGGTGCTTGTTTAAAGCATTTTCTTTGATCCATTGTCTACAGTCCAGGATTTGATGGGATAGAGGCAAAGAGGCTCCTCGCAAGGCAGCCCATATGTTTCTGGTCCACTGGCAATTGTAAAAAAGTGTTCCAAATCTTCTCGGTCATGCATGCAGAACACACAAGTAGTCGAAATGTTCAACCCTCTTCTAGCAAGCTCATTACGTCTAGGCAAGATATAGTGCATGCATTGCCAGATGAAAAACTTAATTTTTGGTAGAGCACGTAACTTTCAAATCCACTCCCATTGACCTTTATTCTCGTTCAGACTTGTTCCTCTATCAAGGTCATAAGCAGATTGGGTAGTGAATACCCCACTAGAGGATGCAGACCAATATATATTATCTTGTCCCTGTCCTACCAGTTGAGTAGGAATAGCATTTATCTTATCCAGAACATTAGCATTGAGTTTGAAAGAAATTGAAAGAGGTTGATTATTTTTTAATGCATTCAGACACTGGCTCATAGAAATTTGATCCTCATGCCAGTTAAGAGGGCCATGAACAATATTTTTTAAACTCCCAAACCCCAACCAATTATCATGCCAAAAGCTCGTAGAAGAGCCATCACCAATGACCCAGCCAATATCTTTTTCAACAATCGGACCTGCCCATTTCATGGCTTTCCATGTCATCGATACTTTAGAAGTTTTTCTCAAAGTGCCATTGTCCTGGAGATATTTCCCTTTCAACGTTGTAACCTACAAAGCATCTTTTTGATGAAGAAATCTCCAAACCAACTTAGCTAACTATGCTTGGTTTTGAGCTCAAATCTCCCTCAAACCCAGTCCACCTTCACTTTTTTCTTAGTCACTTCGCTCCAGTTAAGCAGATGCAATCTCTTCTTATCCCCGTTTTTCCCCTAAATGCTAACTAGAAGGGCTCTATATTGCATATAATAACTGAGGATGCTTTCCATAGTTAACTTGATCAGCACCATTCTTCCTGTAGGAGAAAGCAGATTTGTCTTCCAACCAACTAACTTTGCTTTGACCTTGTTGACAATGAAAGCATAATCATTTTTACTAACTCTCCCTTTACGCATAGGAAAACCCCAGGTATCTTTCGAGATCAAGGTTTCGTTAATGCCCAAAATGTTAATAATATCCCTTTTGTAGTCTTGTCTAGTGTTGGTAAAAAAGAAAACTCCGAATTTTTCCAGATTGATGGTTTGTCCAAACTCATCACAAAATGCTATGAGAACTTCCTGCATAGAATTGGCCGTTTTTCCTTCTGCTTTGCCTAGAAGAATAATGTCATCCGCAAATGAGAAAGCACAGGGCCATTTCGTGAACTTTTAGTAGGTTGCCATTTTATGTCTTCTACAGCTTCAAGAATTTTTAGACTTAGAAACTCCAAACACAAGATAAAGAGGTAAGGGGATAAAAGATCCCCTTGTCTCAAACCTCTGGAAGGCTTGAATTTTTTCAGCATTCCTTCATTCATCAAAATGGAAATAGATGAGGATGAAACACAGCTCATGATCAGGGAAATCCAAGACTTTGGTAGATTGAAAAAAGTAAGCACCTTCCTAATAAATCCCCATTCAAGCTTGTCATAGGCTTTTTCCAAGTCCAATTTGACTATCATATGCCCCAATCCTCCTTTCTTAGTTTTAAATGAGTGGACAAGTTCCTGAATAATAATGCAGTTATCACAACCGTTTCTACCAGGAACAAAGCTAGCTTGGAAAGGTGAAATCATCTTGTCCAGAAAAAGCCTTAGTCTCTGAACCATGATCTTTGAGATAATTTTGTAGGGTATGTTACAAAGGCTTATGAGCCTAAATTGGTCTATCTGAGTGGGATTAATACACTTGGGAACCAAGAAGATCAATGTCTCATTCAACTCTTCGAGCATGGATGCCACCTCGAAAATATGTTTGACAGTGGCACAAATCTTGTCTTTCACAATATTCCAGCAACGATGGTAGAAGAAAGGGTGGAGACCATTCGGGCCTGATGCTTTAAAGGACTTGAAGCTCCAAAACGTTTTTTGAATCTCCAAATCTGAGATAGGTTTCAACAGATCATGTTGATCTTGTGTAGTAAGCTTAGCAACAAATCAAGGTCCAAGAGTGACGATACGGGAGGTTTGAGAGAAGGAAGAAGTATATAGCTTCATGAAGAAATCTTGGACCATTAGGTTCAGAAATCCACACTCCATCCTTCATTAGGCCAGAAATTCTGTTATAACGCCTTCGTAAAATGGTAAAGACATGAAAGAATCTAGTATTTCTTTCTCCTTCAATAAGCCAATTCACCCTAGACTTGAGAATCCAAATATCTTCCCCTGCTTTAAGGATGCCATTAAACTCCTCTAAAAGGGTTCTTTGAAGGTTCAAGAGAAATTGGTTCGGTGAATTTGCCAGGGCCTTTTCAATGCCCGACCATCGAGCAAGAATTTTTTTCTTCTTCAAAAAAAAATTACCAAAGGAGTTCAAGTTCCATTCATGCATGTCCTTTCTCAAAGTCAGCAGGGACTGAGCTAATGATTCTTGGCCATTACTCCAACTGTTGCGGACGAGGGTTAAAAACTCGGGGTGGTCAAACCACATCTTCTGAAGGCAAAAAGGTTTAAGACCTACCCTAGGAACTTTGTTTTTCAAAGACAGCAAAATTGGGCAGTGATCAGAACTGGTTTTTGGCAAATGAAACACCCTTGCTTCAGGAAATGCGAGGCACCAAGCGGGGTTGGCAAAAACAAAGTCAATCCATTCTTGGATCAAGTCCAACACATTCCTATTATTAGACTAAGTGAACCTAGGTCCAGAGAATCCAAGGTCCGCAAGATGGCAAAAATTCAGACAGTCCTTAAAAGCCCCAGATCCAACCAAAGATACAGGTCTACCTCCCTTCTTATCTTCGATATTAAGAACTTCATTAAAATCCCCTAAAACTAACCATGGAAGATCATGATGGGATGGAACAGTTTTAAGATTTTCCCATAAAAGCAATCTTTCTTTATAACAAGGGCTAGCATAAATAGCAGAAATTAACCAAGAAAAATTATTTGATTTTACCTTGATTGTAGCATGGATCTCCTGTTCTGTAGCGCAAATATCATCCACCTCCACGAGATCAGATTTCCACAGAAACCAAATCCCTCTTTTGTACCCTATAGTGGCTGTGTCCTTCCAAGAATCGAAAGGAAGGCGGTCAATGATATGGCGAACATCCTCTCCTCGAGCGCGAGTTTCAGTAATGACCATAATATCAGGTCCATGCATACCAGCCAGTTCTCTTACTGTTCTCACAAAGTTCGGATGCCTCGCACCTCTACAGTTCCATAGTAACATTGACATTGGTAAGGCTAGATTTTTGGGTTGGCGCACAGATAGCCTCTAGAAGCATGGGGTGACCTGTTCCTCTCTCAAATTCTACCCCGGGTGCAGTCTTCTCATCTTGGGATACATAACAATCCTGTGGATCAAGAGCTTCTCCCCTAGGAGTATGGGCGAGCTAAGGCATATTCTGAACTGCTTCACATGCAGGCCGGTCCTTATTTTCATCACTATAATTTGAGGGCTGTTCATTAATATCTCCAGAGGGTGACTTAAGAGCTGAGTCATCTGAATTGCTAAAACCCACATTGGATGATTCAGTTTTGCTTTTGTCCATGAAAGAGCCTGAGATTGTGTGGAGTCTGAATCCTCGAAACTCTGCACTGGTTGGGGGTAAATTAGAATAGGCAGGAGTTTGTTTCTCCTTTCTATTGCATTCTCGGCCATCCTCTCTTCTAGGACTCCTTCTTCGCTCCCTTGGTGATATTGAACGACTGAATCTCCCATAACCCTGTTTTGAGTTCTGAGAGTGGAAGTTGGACTTTCCCATATCGAGTGAGAGCTCTGAGGAGCTACTATTCTTGTTTGCCTGCTGATCTGATGAAGGGCAGTCTCTGATGGTTGTTCTTGCATATCTACTTGCTCTTTCAAAACTTTCAGCTTTTCTTCCCTTAATCTCTTCCTTTCCCTGAACAAAAGAACCATTTCTCTGAACGTCATGTGTCTGGACCTTTGACTCCAGGACCTCCTGGTCCTTTGGAATATTGGCCCAGGAGGCCTGATCCCGGTGGTACCAATTTCCAGCTTTCCCAACGCTGGGTAAATTGGGGCATGGTCCTGAAGCTTGCTGTGCACTTTTTGCAATTTCAAAGCAACAATCAACCCCTTCCTTTTCACTCGGGCACGCAACATCAATTTTCATGGAAATATGATTGCTTAAATCTCTCTCCGCAGTTTGTGACCTGACATACTGCCTTAATTCATCACTTGTCTTATTTTCTGACATACTGATAGTGGCTTGTTCACCCATTTTCGTTCCTGCAGTCTCACCCAACACCTCTTTGACTTGCCCCTTATCAGCTTCTTTACTTTGGGTTGCTTTTCCAGGCGTTGACCAATGGGGCCCCTCTTGGACAAAGGTTTCTTTTCCTAAGCTTTTCCTGGCCAAGCCTTTTTCTATTTCCTTTCTCACGTAACTCTTATTTTTTGCCAAGTCACATCCATATGCATGGGGAGAGGACCCAATATTCTTCTGGATGTCTTCTTTCCCTGATGGTTTTTTCCTTAACAGATTACCTTTTTGTCTCTTTCTCTGAACAACCATCCAAGGGCCAAAACCCTCTTCGCCTTTGTCACTGTAAGTGGAAATGGTTTCCTTCACCGGCGGTAGTTGATTTTTTTGTCATACTGCTTTTCTCATATATTTCAATTTTCTTTTACATTTTTGTCATCGTTTTCAATATATTTTGCTAAATCATTTAAGTTGCCATACAAGTCAGTCACTTTCACAAAATTATAAAATTGTTGTTAAAGTTATTTAAAAAAAAAAAATCTATATATTATTGTTTTTAAAATAAATAAATTGCATAAGCCAATTATCTTCATGCAGAATTTCTAAAATTATTATAAATCTGAAAGAAAAATCCTATAAAAGTCTCCATTAGCAAAGAATAATTCAACGGTGTTAATGCGACGTGAAGAGAAACGAAAAAGGTTCCATGAGGCGCTTCTTAAAACACTCTACCCACCATCATCTCCACCAGAATCGGAGGAGGAAGAGGAAAAGAAGCCGGTGATCACATCAGAGAGAGCTGTCAGCTTGGGGCTTGAAAACCCAGGTTTTTGAAATATTAATTAACATAAAGTAAATTAGTTTTATGATGAAATTGTAAAATGTAACCAATTTGTGTGGCAGATGATTTTGAAGAGGCTAAGAGTAGTTCTTCAACGAGTAATGAGGAAGATGATGGAAGTCAAGCTGAGACTCAGAAGCTGAGTAGAGCTCAAAGGAAAAGACTTAGAAAGAAAAAGCTCAAGGAAGATGCTTTCCGCCGTGGAAAGATCATCGGGCCTTTGTTACCATTATCTGAAGATGGTGGAGTTGGTTTGTTGCAAACTGAACCCCAAGGTGTTCGAGAAAATGCTGCAGACAAACAAGTTGACTCAAGTGACAAACCTGGTAAGATTTTAATTGGTCTATTTGCTTCTTTTTTATTTGTATAAAAAGCTTGACAAACTTGGGAGCAGTGTTTCTAAAGTGAAATGTTTTCTTTGAGCAGATGATGACCTCCTAAATGCACTAACTTTGGGTGTTTGTTCAGGCGATCAGCAAGGTGGTTGTAGTAGCAGTAAGAAGGCGAAGCAGAGGAGGATTGCTAAGAGGTTGGCTAGGGAGGGGCTGAAATCCACTGAAACTGAGAATTCTGATCAAGATAAAGAACGTCAAGTCCTCTAGTACAGAGAAGTGCGATCAAAATTAATAACTGAAATTCTTTAACATGGAGACTAGCGATCATCAACATCATGGGTTCTTGAGGTGAAGACTCAATTAATTAATGTTTTCACCTGCCAGTGCCGCAATGTTGTATTTATTCAACAAAGAAAATGATGTAAAATGAGAGTAGTTTCATTAACTTGAAAATACCAATGAAACTCAGGATGGCATTTCGGAGCTTAATTTTTATCTGAGGTTTACTAGTGGCTTTAAATAGCAATGAAACAAATTATTGAAATAATCATTTGGTCAAAGATTTTGTAGTTTGGTTACGCGATAATTCGGGTGAAATTGGTTCATGCAATCACATATTTTAATATTAAAATTCAAATTTCAACGCAGCTTTTTCCATTCGATAATTCCTCGGTTCTAACACCCCCGTCCCAGGCAGAAAAGCCCAAAAGCCCAAACTCAAAAACTCCATCTTTAAATTACAATTATACCCCCACCAAAGAGAAGTATCTGTTTCTTTAACTAAGCATCGCCCCTCTTCACCGCTCGCTACATTTCAATTTTCATAAAGGCAACATATAAAACCCTAAACCCTACTCCTTCCTTCCTCACTCTTCCAATGGCGGAGCTAAAACTCTCCGAGAGCCGAGACCTGACCCGAATCGAACGAATAGGGGCCCACTCCCACATCCGGGGCCTAGGTCTTGACTCATCCCTGGAGCCCCGCGACGTCTCGGAAGGGATGGTGGGCCAAACCCAAGCCCGCAAAGCCGCCGGTGTCATTCTCCAAATGATCAAAGACGGGAAAATCGCTGGCCGAGCAATCTTATTAGCGGGACAGCCGGGAACCGGCAAAACCGCCATCGCTATGGGCATGGCCAAATCCCTAGGGCTTGAAACCCCATTTTCTATGCTCTCCGGCAGCGAAATCTTCTCCCTCGAAATGTCGAAAACCGAAGCGTTAATGCAAGCGTTTCGAAAGTCCATCGGAGTAAGAATCAAGGAAGAAGCCGAAGTAATTGAAGGCGAAGTCGTTGAAATCCAAATTGACCGCCCGGCAGTTTCTGGGGCGGCTTCGAAAACAGGGAAATTGACTCTCAAAACGACGGATATGGAGACCGTTTATGATCTGGGTGCGAAGATGATCGAGGCATTAGGGAAAGAGAAAGTGCAGAGTGGGGATGTGATAGCTATTGATAAAGCTTCAGGGAAAATAACGAAGCTTGGGAGATCGTTTTCGAGGTCAAGAGATTACGATGCAATGGGACCTCAAACTAAGTTCGTGCAATGTCCGGATGGAGAGTTGCAGAAGAGAAAAGAGGTTGTTCATTGTGTTACACTTCATGAGATTGATGTCATTAATAGCAGGTAAATTCGAGTTTGGCTTTGTTTACAAAATTTTCCCTTTTCAAATTTGTGGCTTTTTTTGCTGTATTCAATACGATTTCTTGAGTCTTAATTTTTGCTGTGACTGGTATATGCAGTGGGTGTTTAACTGTTTATCTGTAATCGTTTTGAAATTAGTTAAGAGCTGAGCCGATATGAACTTTTAATAATTTAGACTATGTTTGGTTGCTTCATTTGCTACTTACATTTTGCTTCTGAAAGCAAAACATAAATATATGAACAAAAAGTAAGCTTGGATGAAAAAGCCTATAGCATTTTGGGAAAATTAACGAGTTAGGTGGATTTGGTTTGCACTTTTAAAGGTGCTATTGAGAATAGAGATTCTGCAAGTTAAGAGCTCTGTGAAATGATGAAGGTCTAATAGTTCACATGACAGATCTTCCGTAAGTCAGTGGTTCTTAACCATGGTTGCTGGCTAGCTTCTCCTTCCAATGTTTACGAACCCAACATATGTGGCATCCTTATACCGTCAATACATATATTTCGTCAGTTTGTTCAAACAAATGCGATTGTACCATTATTTTGTGACTACTAGGGAAGAATTTGTGTATGACAGTTCTTTGGCCAGTCAGATTTAATAAGTATGATATTAACATCATAACTTGTGCAAATATTTCTTACTAGCATGAAATTTCTCCCTATAAAACATGATGGTTAGCGTCATATCTGTATATCCAGTACAATTTTTCCATAGGCAATTATCTTTGCTTGTCTGCCGTTTAGGATATTCTTCGCATTTGTCTATACTTATAGACTTTAAAGAAGTTTTATGCCATTTATTCTGAGTTTATCATTTCGTGTCTTATTATGTTTCTATTTCAGAACACAGGGATTTCTTGCTCTTTTCACTGGTGATACTGGTGAAATCCGTGCTGAGGTGAGAGAACAAATTGATACAAAGGTGGCAGAGTGGAGGGAGGAAGGAAAGGCAGAAATTGTGCCAGGTGTTCTCTTTATTGATGAGGTGCACATGCTTGATATCGAGTGCTTTTCCTTCCTGAACCGTGCTCTTGAGAATGAGATGGCCCCAATATTAGTTGTTGCTACAAACAGAGGAATAACTGCAATCCGAGGCACAAACTACAAATCCCCACATGGAATTCCAATCGACCTTCTTGATCGACTACTAATCGTCACTACTCAACCTTATTCTGTGGATGAAATTCACAAGATCCTAGACATTAGGTGCCAAGAGGAAGATGTTGAGATGTCTGAAGATGCAAAACAATTATTGACAAAAATTGGGCATGAGACATCCTTGAGATATGCTATCCATCTGATTACTGCTGCTGCATTGAATTGCCAGAAGCGGAAGGGAAAGGTTGTAGAAGTGCAGGATATCACTCGAGTTTACAGTCTATTTCTGGATGTAAGGAGATCGACACAGTACTTGATGGAGTATCAAAAAGAATACATGTTCAACGAAGCATCAATGGTTGATGGTGGGGAAGATGATGCTGATGCCATGCACGATTGAAAGTTTCTTTAGGTTGAGTTGAAGAATTTCTGATATTATGTTCCTAACGGCCTTCACACATGGCACGACGTGGCTTGGTGTTACTGCAATGTGTTCTCTGCTAGACTAATATTATTTTGCTAGTTTTAGCTATGCAGCAGTGAATTCGTAGTGTAATTTGTACGCAATATCAACTCCTAATTTCGCTATAGTTTCTGTTAATGAAAATATAGGATTGCTCTACTGAACAAGCTTGTTTCGACATCAAAACCTGAGACTAGGCTGAAGTTGCTTTCTCAACATTTATCATCAATCAAGGAACCTTTGTTACTTCAAAGATTGATACTAGTTTAGGCGTGCACTTTGCCTGGTCGAGAAAAATGGCAGAACAATCCCTTGATCCTAGAATGGCCGTTTCTCGTTCCATTAGTTAATTCATGTGCTCCGAAAGTTATCATGTCAATTTTGGGTTTTCTTACCCTTCTCAAATCTTTGGCACACTTTTCCTACACTTGTCTTAGCAGCAAAAAGTTTCGGTTTCTCATGCTGGAAACAAGGCACACCATCCATGCATTTGATTAAGGCAAAATCAATGGAGGTTTCATGGTACACAAGGATAATGAAAAGCTGATACTCGACCAAATTATCATGCTATAATGAACATTTCATATGTTACCCCGAACAAGTACCAAGGTAACATTCGTAGCACTTGTATAAATCTCAAGAACATGTAAACAACCTGGTTGTAGGTAAAAGTTCCAGTAAGCTTTGTTCACTATAGAAAGACATTGCACCTCAAAAGCAAGCTTTCATAGCTCAGTTGGTTAGAGCACCCGTTTAGTAAGCGGGAGGTCTTGAGTTCGACTCTCAATGAAAGCATGCCATGGATTTTGTTATTCTAGTTCTTCATTTTGTTTGCCATGCATGAAGAGCTTGAACATTCTCATCACAGCATTGGAATACTTCAATCCATAGGCTGGCACTCGACCACAATATCACCCCGATTATAAAATGTACAGGGTGTTTATTAATGACGGGAATTTAGCATGTCTGAGACCTGAAATCAATTTTACAACCTCAAAAACATGGACGATGCTGTCTCTGGTCACATACAACTTAAGATCCTATAGTTTCTGTGCAAGAAACTTACAGGTACTTCGTATTTTTATGACTTATTAATGCTGAAACTAGATGGTTCTTGACTTTGAGACAACTTATTTATGAAGAATATACATTATCACTATGGGTTGGTCATATTCCAACCGCATCAATATATTGCATTACCCCTACTTCTGTCCAACTAGAAAGAACTTACAAACAAAGGAATACTCCTTCCACTGATCAATTATTGTCTGATATCACTTCTTTAACATCCATTTAGATCCCGCCATTTGAGGTAAACCAGTCCTGCTCGATAATGAGTGTATGCCCCAGCAACAACCAAGATGTGAAAAAGTTGGTGGCTGTGCCCAGCAATGTCAAATTTTCCAGGCATCCATCGCTCTGGAATCCTTGTTGCATAGACCAAAGCTCCAATACCATACAAAAACCCCATCAGAACCTCATACCCGGTTGTGTGAAGTGCCTCAGGCTGGTGCCAGAACAAGATAAGCTTGTGAAGAATGGGCGCTATCCCAGACACGCCCATGCCAAAGAAGAGGGATGCACGAATGCTGCGAAACTCAGGATTCTGAAACACTGGCAATAAGGAAAACAAGATTGTTGCAACCCCCAAGACAGTTATAAATCCCATGTAGAGGTTAGAGAAGAATGGATCACACATGAAGGAGTAATACACAGGAGGATAGAAGGAAGTAGATATAAGAGCTGCAATCCCAGCATAGTCTAGCCTGAGCATGATATATGATATGCGCTCAGAGTGGCAAGACAGGAGGTGGCATGTGCTGCTAGCTAGCAAGCAAAACATTGCACCACCCAAGAAGGCAAAAAATGGCCACCTTGTTATTGGTCTCACCATCAGGGGTGCTATAATGTTTGCCACATCCTCCTTCACACTTTGCTGCAATTAGAAAGAACACAGAAAAATTATCAGATGCATGAAGCTCCCAAGATATAAAATCAACTTTAACAATAAAAAGAAAGATATCTACTGCTTTTTCGTTCCACCTTGCAATTATAGGGATGACAGTTGTCACTGAAAACTGAAGAAGATGCATGAAATGCTCATTTTAATACTCTCTTAAAACTACATACACTAAGGTAAAAAACTAGTGGCTGCAAACAATGTGCAAGGATTCAAGCACTCCTACCCTCTCCTTTTTCTGTCATGAATTACTCCTAGCAAGATTCAATCAACATGCAAATAGTTAAGGAACTTTTGAACTATCACCAATACGGCAGTTGATTCCACATTGCACGAATACTTGCGTAAGAATCCTCATGCCATCTTCATAACTAAAGTTCCACACATTGAGGGAAATTTATGGTACAAGTAATCTGTAACATCAATAACTACAACACAAATATGTACCATATAGGTTGTCTATAAATTTAGAGAAGGTTTCCTATAATAAACAACTCTAAGCTTTCCATACTTTTTGGTAAGGAAGAGAAGCCTTTACTGAATCACGTATCTCAACAACAGTAGCAGCCCAAAAGCCCAATATCAACTGCATAACTTATAGCACATGTGGTTGCATCAGATGCCTTTTTTTGTTTAGAAAGGTTGTAGAGTATAATTTTTCTCTGGAAAGTTTACTCGGACAATAGGCCTTTGGCTTGTTGGCACTCCCTAACCCATAGGAACCTGCCAAATTGTGATTATAGTTCCTTCAAGCAAAATTTCACTGACAACAATAGGACAGAGGAAAAGAAATCTTCATGGATTTCTGCAAGGATTGAAAACAACCCAGAAACATGATTCACACATATAATTTGAGAAAATGCCATAGAGATCTATGTTTCTATTCACTGGTTGTTGATACCATGATATATCCATCTAGAGACAGGTTAATGAAGGGAAGGGAGAGTCATAGCAAAGGACCCCAGGTTTGACAAAAGCGTCTGTAACATTTAAGAATACATCAGAAAAATAAAAAGTAATGTCAGTCAAATTGTTCCAAAATTAGTTGCATTGAGACAATTAAGCAGATTACAGAACAAGAAGAAATTTTAAAATGTTGGGAATATTTCAGCATGAAATAAGCACAAGATAAAGAAATTAACACTGCTCAAGTGGAACCCCAAGGACCAGCTAGCGTTTAGAATACAGCCAACTATCATAACTTTTGAATTAGCCAAAATCTTAAGATTTATGAAATAGCTTATTAAGGATATGGAGCATTACCAGAACACAAACATCAGTGTGATTCCCAATGGAGAAACGCTCAGGTAAACAGTTATATAGAAGTTCCACAACATGCCAACCTGAGAGTGAAGGAAGCAAATCCATTGAAGGGAGAGTAGTCTTTAACTCCTTCCGAAGTTTGTGCAAATCGGGCATATTTGGCAAGGAAGGCAGGCATGTCATGAGTTCTGAATGCAATTTGTGTAAATCAGCCTTTCTCAATACATCAGGAATATGCTGCAAAGAGTGAAGATCAACAACCTTTGGAACCTTCATTGCAGTGTATATGGTAAGCGAAAGGAAAATGAAGAACCCAATCAAATGCCTGTAAAAGGTAGTGGTCATACTCAAGATAACATAGACAAGTGACAACATACTAATCTATAATCCAATAAAGCAACAATCATCTCAGAAACATGAAGTCATGGAATTATACTGAAGAAACAAAGAGTATATTTTGATTGATAACACCATAACAATACTTCACAAATTGAGACATGTTTACATTCTTCCCTAAATTTCTATTTCTTCTCTTTCCAATTCTAAAAAGAAAGGTTAAAACACAGTTAATTCAATCCTTTGCTCATCATAATAAAGGAAATTAAAGAACTCTTTTCATTCAATGCATGAAGAAATAAAATCAGCTCATTCACAGTAAACCACTGCTATTAAACATGAAAAATTTTCATTAAACATCGCCTTACAAGTACACTAAGGACACTAACTCGCATTTGCCAAAAATTAAAAGGGCTGGTAGTTTGCAAGCAAAGAAAGCTTACGTCCAAACATTTAAAGTCTCATTGTGAATTGTGAAGATGCTAAGCAAAACCTGCTTCATTGGCCATTCTGATCTGTAATGGCCCACAATAAACTCATTGTCCCTCAAATATCCAGGCAGTGAGTGGTACTCTACCAGCTGATACTTCACCTTTTTCCACAATCTCTTCCCTTTCCCTTCCTTTGAACAGCTCACTTTACAATGCCCTATTTTTTCAGCTGTCATATTTGTATCTTCACAAACTTGTTCCACGCTGCCCATCTTTCTACTTTCAAACAAATAACAATTTATCAACTAAAAAAAAAAACCCATAATTCACATAAAAAAGTTTATCCAAATATCTTCTTTAAGAATAAAATCTTTTATCCAACTCAACAATAAAAAAAAAAATCATATAAGAAAAGAAAGGAAATATAGAGAGAAAAGGGTACCAGAAAAAGAAGAAAATTGAAGAATCACCAGCTGATAATTGAAACCCAGATGGGGATCCTTCTATAAATACAGAATTCTCAGGCGGACGACTCTAAACAAACAACAAAATATACAGATAAGACAAACACCCGGAAGTTAGTTTTTGATGATAACAAATATATATGAACAAGACAAAGAAACATAAAAAGTACGAGAAAACCTAACCGCTGAAACCTTAAAGCAGAGCAAAGTCACGTCCCAGACAACAAAGGAGCAATGTTTTAAGAAATTAAAGAACAAATTTATCGAGGCAAGAATCAGATTCGTTAAGAGATGCGGAGATACCGAAGATTGTTTTGTTTTGGAGTGGTTGTGGTAATAGAACCGGACAACTGGGGAGGACTAAAATCTCAATTACTAATAATAGTTGGTGGAAATGATTTAAAAAAAAAAAGCTTGGATATTTTTATTTTGGTGGTGGACCCCTTGAATTTTTTTATTTTATTTTACAGTCATATCCCAACAACTTTGGAAGTCACATTGATTGGGATGTAAATTTGTTGATTGGACTTCTACATTTTAATTAGATGAAAAGAAAGCTTTTTAGTGCTCCATTATAAGAATATTATGTGAGTTTGAATATTATTCTACATTGTTGTGCTATTAAATCCTTATCATGTTGCTGACTTATGGTTGGCTATTGCAAATGGGGACCTCGGGTTTTATTAATTTATATAATAGGTTAAAATAATGTTATTTTTGTCTATAAATATATGATTTATTGATAGAATATTAAAATTTTAATGATAAAAATTTTAAATTTTGACAATTTAAGTATATAAAAAAATAATGTTATATTTTGCATATCATTTATGAGAATTAAACAAATTAAATCTTAAATCTAATTTGACTATTATATTATATTAAATTATATAATGTTTAGTATCCTCTCAATTATTATTATTATTTTTTATAAAAAGTAATCACAGCTTAGATAAAAAAATAATTATACGTGTTAAAATTTAAATTTATTAAATATTATTTTTTAAGATGATTGTATGTACTAATTAAATTAATCTTCATATTGATCCTCTTAATTACTTTTCCAATTCACTTCAATTTAACTAAAATAATAATGATGAAAGAGGATTTGGAGGGAGATCTTATACCTAACCCTAATGCTCTTATATAATTATGTAAATATATATTTATCTTATTATATTTCTTGAGGATGTCAATTTGTTTTTTTATTGGTTTGTGTATTGATTTCTTTAATGAATGTACTTTTTGGTAGATATAGAAAATTATTTGCTTATAATTATAACTTTTATATGTCAGTTTCCTAATATGGTGGTGAAGAAATCTGGACCATTTCTAGAAAGATATGTGAATTATATGTTAGATTTAATTGAAAATTTATCGAGTCATTAACAAAATTTATAATTAAAATTAAAATTAATCTAGATGTGGGTGAGAGCCAATCTCGTTGAATTTAAACCCATAGAATTGATGCTGCAGTTTTGTTCTTCTTGATGCTACTTTTTAGATTTTGAGTAGCGATTTGCACAGTTAAAAAAGAGAAAACTATTCTCTGCCTCTCAAATTGAAATTATAAAATTTAATGAGTTGGCTTTATATATATAGAGGTGAAAGCATTGATCTCTCATATCTTATTATGGGTCCAAACATAAAATTAGATAGGGATCACACTTAATTAAAATTATATTACATATTCATATATATTACAATATAATATCATTATAATTACTCATAATTTGACATTAATTAATCTAAATTTAGATTAATTAATTGTGTTAATTCATAATATAAGATAATTAGATTATTATAGGGTGGGCAGAATCTTGGATGGCCCAGACTCCAAACTAATTGTCTTAGAATTATGGGTGAGTTAGCATTTGAGCTCATTTGGGTTTACTATGAAAATTACAAAAAAAAAAAAAAAAGTAAAAAACAAGAGGTAAATGGAAGTTTGGAATTGGAATCATAGAAAACAAAGGATAAGTACATAGAGCAAAAAGGTAAGGTTGTCTAAAGAGAAAAGCAGGTTACAAGGAAACAATCAAACCAAGCAACCAAGAATCAAAGACAAGATCGAAATGAAGTGGAGATATTAAAAAATAATATAAATTATAAATTATAACAAATAATTTTTATGTAAAACATTGCATAAATACATAAATTATAAATATTTTACACTATATAAATACGTAAATTGCTAAATCTTTCCGAAACCAAGTGGAGAAATTAAAAACTAGCCTTTAGAAATCAATATAAATTTGGGAGTAACCGTTGTTACTTGAACAAGGTGGATTTCTTGTAATGACCAATTCAAGGTGGCTTTAGGTTTTCACGGGCTATGACTTGAGATGATATCAGATTAGATAGCCAAGCCTTGTTATAGGATTTGGATTAGTATCACATCACTTTTAACATCGTTGGCAATGTGAATTTGGACTATTTCCAATTTGGCCATTTCCCTTAGGCTAGCAATGACTTTCTCTTCCAAATATTCATATTAATTTGATGCAATCAACTAAGTTATTTCTTATAAAACAACATCGTAGAAATTTTTTAATATATTCATTAGTATCGTTCGTATGAGTAAGATACAATCATTAATTATAAAGGTTCGAATTCGAATGAACAATGATAATAGTTTTAATGTAAAGATGATAAAGAGCTTTGGAACATATTCTTATGATCCATATATTTGAATAGTAGTGTAGTAAATAGGAAAGTGAACTCAATGGAATAGATAATAGATTCGGCCTTTTGGCAAAGATTTATATATAGCAAACTCATTGAAGTCCAAGAAGATCATGCCAAAATCTCGTTCTATTTTTTTTATGTAATAATTTCGTGACATTTATCAATCTTTTAACCTCAAGTGTGAAGTTAATTTTCTTTTGTCCTTAATTTTTTTTAAAGGAAAAAAAATTAAAAGAAATGAATGGCCGAGATTTGTTAATTGGGCTCCAAATTAAAGGAGTAGATCTGGGTCCATGCCCTCAATTGGGCCAGCAAACGAGTTGGCTTTCCGAAACGGTAGCCCTGAAATTTAACTGATAAAACAAAATTACGTGCATAAATTTTTTCAAATTCATCATTTTTAAGTATTAATTATAAAAAGATATCAATTAACTTAAGAGATAATTCACATTTTCAAGTTTAATAGTTAATAATAGTATTAGAATTATGCTATAATTCTCGTGAGAAAGTAAATGGGAAGGGTGTAGTTATTGTTTCCGTAAGTCTACAATATTTTATAGTTGATCCTATCTGAAAGATCTATATATAATTTGCTTCAAATATTTAATCCAACCAAATTTGATTTAATCTAAAATAATTAACAATATGTTGAATAACCTGAAATACGATGATAATTCGAATTTAATTATTTTTTATATTTTGAATAAAAAGTTTTTCCAACTCTGACTTTTTAAGTAGTAGTATGACTGAATTAAATATTGAATGCTGAAATTTAGGAAACTTAAGCAAAAGTAACTTGTTCAATTGAGTGTTTCTAAAATGAATTTCACATGATTTGTCTTTGAAATTTAATCATATTTAATGGAGGAGAGGCGACGGCGGTGGTGTATGGTAATGATGCATTGGCAAGTATTAATTATGCGGCGACGGTAGCAGCTAATCGGTTCGGTGGGATGGTGGCGTTCATTGCTGGGAGTGGCCTCTTTCCATCCAAAAACGTGTTTGACCGGCATGGAATTTAGGCTGCTGAAGAAATTGAGCATGGGAAAAATCCACCGCCAAAACCCAACAGCTGAAGGCATCCATATGACTATATCAATATATATTGGAGAAAAAAAATATATATATATATATATTGTTTGTTCTTCATTTTCTAATATAACTTATATCTCAGCTTAATCAAAAAACAAAAGTTATTTAGGTGAAATGTTAAGAAGCATATCATACATGATGATTGTAGTATAATTAATTAATTATAATTCAAGATTATATGAATTTTTTTAAATTTTATATGAAACTCATATTTATATTTATAAGTGGTGAGCCTTTATATAAATTTTATTTTGATTGAATAATTGTAATTGAAGGCAAAAAAAAATAAAAAATTTAAGGTGATACGCTCCAAGATGTTACTTGACCATAAATTGAAAACTTTGACGTCTAATCCTACCTTCAATTGTGCAAAGTGATGGTGGGAATGAAAGTTATTTTAAGTAGTTTTTTTAATATGTAAAAAAAAAAAACTTTATTTAAAAAAAAAAGCAAAAAAATTTTATTAAATGAATTCAAAATTTAATACAACTTATTCATGTAATTATTTATAATAAATAATATTTAAAAAATTTAAAATTTAAATATCAATAATTACAAGCACTTTTTTTATTCTCAAACTATGATATCTTTTGTAAAATAAATAAATAAATAAATCTTGAGTTATCATACAATTATAGCTGCTCACCCCTTTGTTCCATATAATCCTATTAATCCTATAGTCATTCTTTCTATCTCAAAACTTGCATTCAAAACCTCTAGTTTATGGAGTAAACCATAATCTAGTTTATGTTAAACTTTTTGACAATTACGCTAGCTGCTACGATATGAAATCAAACCTTACTTTTAGCAGAAAAATTAGAGTAAGAAAAATGGTAGGATCATGTTATTTGCAATTAAAAACTAATTATTAGTTGGAAAAATTCATAAAATTCAATATTGGTATTAGTAGAAAGTGGAGGCTTAGTGAAAGGAGAGATAGATTAATTACTAAATATATACTAATCTTCACTACTCACAATTTCAATTGAAAATGAGAAACTTATGAAAAGTTATAGATCAAATACCTTTTTCAAAAAAAAAAAAATGTAGAGAACAAAAGCTATGCATCTTGATACGCATATCTTTAACTTTTGAGGGGAAAATAATGATCAAGATTTAAGACCTAAAAAGGAAGGGCAAACCACTTAAAAGTTCTTAAACGAGGTGAAAATATGGCAAGTACAATTGAGAAGTGAAGTAGACCTTTGGTTTTTGGTGGGGATCCGATCTTCCATAATTTCACATGCCAAAAGTGAAGCATGGATCAGCACCAGATCCTTACGACGTTCAATGTTACAATCATATTTCTTGAATATCAGAAAGAAATAGAGAACCAAAAATCCCAAGCCTTATCCTAGCTAGGGGTTCCTGTGTCCAAAGACAAGGGGGCCCTGGCTGGTCCTTTTCCATTTAAAAAGTAGCAAAGCATCCAACCTTTTGCATCAGCTGACGATCATCTCATTCTATTACAAGTTCCCCCCATCTTCCCTGTTGACGCAATCCAGGTGCTTTTTGCAGATCTAGCACGTCTCCTTCATTGCACCAAATAAAAATCCCCTCACCCCCCCTCTGTTTAGCATTTACGTCTCCTTTTTCATCATCAGTAGCTTGCTGATATAAGCACCAAAGACCAGACCCATCCTTGATTTCCTGTCATCATTTCTCTAAACTACCATTCCCTTCTTACTTTTTTGTTTCTCCTTCAGGCCAACCCTTTCCTTTTGCTTTCCCATGGCGTAAAACTTCTCTGGGTTATTTCTTTATTATCTCTTTGTCGCATCACCTTCTTGAGGATTACGTCAAAGTGTTCCATAAAGCAATACGATCTTTGTTTTTTAGTGTAGTTAAGTTTTGCTTTAAAGGTTTTTTTTTTTTTTTTTGAAGTAAAGATGGGAAACTGTCAAGCAGCTGAAGCTGCAACAGTGGTGATTCAACATCCAGGGAACAAGATCGAGAGGATTTACTGGTCTGTTAGTGCTCATGAAATCATGAGTTCAAATCCAGGCCATTACGTTGCACATGTGGTAACCTCATCAACGTTAAAGAACGAAAATGGCATGCCATTGAAGCAGCTCAAGATCTTAAAACCAGATAACACTTTGTTACTCGGCCAAGTTTATCGACTTATTAGCTTTGAAGGTAATTCATTACTTGATTTTTACGTGTATAGTTTGCCAAGGCATCTTCCTTTTTCTTATTTTCTTGATCTTGGGGGGTTTTCTTTTAGATGTTTTGAAGGAGTTTGCTGCAAAGAAGTGTGTGAAGCTTGGAAAACTGTTGAAAGAAAGAGGAGGGCTTGGGCTTGGGATGGAGTTGAAGAGAAAGGATTTGCCAAGTACTGCTTCCAATCTGAATCCAAAACTTAACTCGAAATCTGAGAACTGCAGTTCTATCAAGGTAATAAAACAAAACTCAATCACAGTGAATGCTACTCTTTCTAGTTTCCTGTGAATTAGCAAAACTTGTCAGAAAGGATGAGCTAAGCTTCTGAAAGTAATAAATGGGTCTAGAATTTCAAGAAACGTATTAAATTAACTAATTAGTGCTTAACATGGGATTTGAATATGGGCATTTCCTTCACCTTCACATCTTTTCATTCTGCAGATGGAAGGACAGGGTGGGTGTCTTCTTTTTTTTTTTTTTTCCTTTGTAACTTGGGTGCAGAAAAGTAAACTTTTATGGTCTAAAAAGGAAGTAAATAAAAGGAAAAGTGGAGGGGAAAATCTGGATCTGCATATGCAAAGTGACAGTGTTTGTAGTTTAAAATGTTATGGTCTGAAATCTGAGAACTTGGAAGAATCTGAACTTTGTTCAAACAACAGATCTCGAGGTATTTCTCTGAAAATAATTTACTTAACATTTAACACACTTTTTAATGTTCGAAATCTCCATTAACCAGTTGTTTAGTTTTCTTTTCCTGATATCTGATTATTCAGAGATGAAAGTCAGTAGTCATTGGCAACCTTGCTTTTTCAGAAACTATATGAAATAGTGGCATATTAATCATGTTAACAAATAGTAGTGGTTGTTTTTTTTTGGCTGAGTTACCCTTTCTAGATGACTTTCCTTCCCTTGTGGTAAATGTGGCTATAAATGCTAGTATATCACACATTTAGGACAACATGCCAAGTCAAGGTGAATTCAACTATTTGTGCTTAGATTTGAGAATGCCAAGTCAATGTTAAAAAAGATGGATGATTATTGATCTATTGTTGAGTATTGAAATTTTAAGTCCAGTGACTCTTCAATCCCTGTCTCAAGTAGAAACAAAAAAGAACAATATTATTACTTTGAAAATATGTGATGTATCTAAATACTACTCTTTGTACTTAAGATTCATGAATTTGCCTGGCTACAGCAAGTTGTAGATGGATAGCAAGAGAGAATAAGAATAAGTCACCTGAATCACTTACAAGAGAGAACAAGATTCATGTAATTTTTTGCACATTTCATGATGTTACTTATATATGGAGACATGCAAATGTGATTATTGGTTATGAATTTTATACTTTATGAATAAGATAGAGGTTTTTAGAGGGAAAAATCATGAATTTTGTTAACATGAAATGACTCTATGATTTGTTTGTATGCATTTAGTGGTGGATGTGTGCACGTGTGTTTGTCATTCAAAAGTTTAGACAGTAGGTGGGTGATAGTTTTCTATAAGAATTTTGTCCAACAATTTGTCTTCTTCCTTGTAATAAAGGTAAGGTTAATGCTAAGCTCCTCAATTGAATGGATAAGATTGGTGAACAGGATCCAAATTTAGTGGAAAGCTTGGGTTTTCAAAATGGCAGTGAGCCCACAAACTTTTATACAAATCAATAATGGAACCCAAAAATGCTTATGGAATTGTCATTGTCTCATGGCTACCTTTTTCCTTTTCCTTTCTAATTTCTCCCTCTCTTTTGCAGGTGGGGCAGGAAGTTAACAGACTGGGAAGCAATGGTGGTGGCAGTAGCGGCAGCAGTAGGTACATGGGAAGGCATCATGTTGGTGGTGGTGGTGGTGGGGGGCAATGGAGGCCAGCCTTGCAGAGCATTGCAGAGATTGGAACTTGAACGCACTGCCTTCATATCTCTTCCAGGATTACTGCATGCTTCCCCTGTCATTCTCTCCCCAGTCCCCCAACTCTCCCCCACCCAATAAAAGGCAAACAACCTTTCACTCTTTCCAATACCTTCATGTGCATTATTCTCTTTTCCTTTTCTTTTGTTTCCTGCATACACTAAAACGTTATATTAATTAATTTCTAGTATTAGTTTCCACTAGATTTTGAGGGTAGGGTTTGTGTTAGATGTAAAACCATTTGGTTACTTGGAAGACAAATATTTGTAGACAGTTGCGTGAATTATTGATAGAGTATTAAAATTTTTAATTTTAGTGATTAAAATTTAAAAATTAATAATTTTAATTAAAAAACAGTGCCGCTAAATGTACTCTCATTTTTTTTTTCATATTTTAATTTTTTAAAAATTTTTATAAATAAAATTATTTAATTATTTTTTTCACAATTTTTTTGAGTATTTTAATTTTTTAAAAATAAAATTTTGAAAAATTATATAAATTTTTGAAAATGGATTTCTAAAAAGATATAAACATTTCTAGAAATGGATTTTTAGAAAGTTATAAATTTTTCTAAGAATTCATTTTTGGAGAGGTTTATGATTTTTTAAAATTTATTTTTGAAAAGTTATATGATTTTTTAGAAATTTATTTTCAAAAAAAAATTTATGATTTTTCAAAAATCCATTTACAAATACTTATGTGAAAAAGAAAAGATAACTAAATAATTTTACTTATAAAAACTTTAAAAAAAATTTTTGGGGCGTGAAGATAAAAGCTTGAGGTACATTTAGTAACACTCCTAAAATAAAGTATTTTCTTATATTTTTTTAAATATTTATCCAATGGATAAATACTACTCTTCCACCTCAAATTTCAAATTCAAGACTTCCAAAATTTTCCAAATTTGATGTTAATTCAATTGGTTTTTCAGTGGAATCTAGATCATACAAAAGCCACTCATTTCATACAAAACTCTTTGCTAATGTCAAGAGTTTGATAACTATATTGTAAGAAGAATCAAAACCAAAGCTCTACAAAATGGGTTGAAAGAAGAACTATCATACATTCAATTTTGTTTTGGCACTGGCTGGCTATTAGTGGACTGGAGGGGCCCCAAAAGGAAGTCAAGACAATATGCAAATGTGATGGTCCAAAGCTTTCCAGTGGAGGACTGCAAAATAGTAGAAATTAATAGTAGTTTTACTATTGTTTGCGAGGGAAAGTAGGGATCTAATAATAAAGCAATTGCGTCAAAATTATTGCTTCAGTGTTTCCTCTTGAAATACTTGAAATGGGAAAAAAAAAAAACTCTCTCTATTTATATTGCAAATACATATATAAAAATAAAAAATTTGATGAGATTAAAAATTAGATAAAAGGAAAAGATAAATTAAATAATTTAGGTGAAGAAAAGGTGTTGAATGTGAAATTAAATAATGCTGTTGAGTATTGATTACATGCATGATTTCTCATACATATACCATCAATGAGTAGTAAAAAGAAGAGAAATAGAAATGGAGATTTACAGCAGAATCGCACTAGCTAATGGTAGTTGGATCCCCGCATAGATTGCCTTTTTTTTTTTTTTTTATCAAATTTATAAAATATTACAATGCTGTTTTGTTTGGTAGTTTGAGACTTTGAATAATTGATCAATCATCAAATTTACTTTTCCCCTTCTTTTGGTTACATTCTCCCCTTTCATGGATCTTGGGGAGATGTTTTTTGTCTCCCAAATTTTCTTGGGGTTGGCCTTTTTGGGTTTGGTTTTATGCTGTCGGTCGGTTGTGCAGTACCACGTGCGGCTTGCCTTGCCTTGCTTTTACTTGTGCATGATTCATAAAACCCTTAACATATTGAAAGCAAATTGATTGCCAATAAAAAAACTACAGATAAAGTAAAGATGATTTTGAACTCAAACAAAAATAATTTTGAGGGTTAACGAGTTAAATTCTTACATAAGTAAAAACAACACTATTGAAACCTTCACCGAGGAGATGACCCAGATGCAGCAGATGGCCCCGAAAGAGGAGGTGCAGAACCAGATGAAGTGGACACTGGTGGTGTCCTTGTTGAAGATGCACTCACAGGAGGTGCGGGCTTTGGTGGCCCAGAATGTTAATAATGCTGAGCTACTGATGGGGCCTGAGGTGGAGGCATTGCCGAATGACATGGTGGATACTGCTGATAAGGTGGCATTGGTTGCATCCGTATGGTGGATAAAGCTGACGAGGATATTGCCCAGGTGATGGTGGGATAGGTTGGATAATGTTGCCCAGGTTGTTTTTCAGATCCAGATTTGTGTTCTCCCCATCATGGGACGGAGCCAAGGCACCCATCCTTTGAGGATTCATTGATGGATAGAAGGGCTCTATCCAGCTGAGGTGGAGGGGGATAGTAAAATACTGCATCCGAGGTTTCTGACTCAGGTCTTGGAACCTGTGAATTACCCCACATCAGCTTCAGCCTGAGACCCTTTATGACTAGCTTAGTGGCTTATTAGAAAGCTTTTGTGCAGCCTTCTCAGCTCCTTCTCTTGTTGTATACGTTACAGAGGCACATGCGTTGTCAAGCACCATCTTTATTGATTCAATTTCACCGTGGGCATTATCCCTTAAATCTCGCTACAGAACCCTTTTATCAAACCCGCCCACATCAAGGGTTTTAATGCTTTCATCCTCAGGAGCTTACAAGAAGGCATTTCACCAGCCTTGTTAAGTAGCTTTATTGCCACTGGATCATTCACCCTGCAAAAGTTAATCACAACATTAGAAAGTATCAAGCATGAAAAGCTTTAATCTACTAAGGCAAGCAATAGGTTTGTCGCAACAAACATTAAGTTTGTCAATGCATTGCAGTATTACCATTCATATATAGAGATGAACATCAAAATGCTAAAAACATCGAAAAAGACACATAAAGACAGAATAGTTCATGGGTATGAACTCCCCGCAAACTCCCTCTCCCCACCCAAACACATTTGGCAATTAACACACAAACTAACACAAAAGGGGAGAGGGAAAGAACATGTGTTGTTAAAAGACTGAAAAATTATGTTCATGACATGACCACTCAAACACTGTGACCAAAAAAGAAGATGGCATTTGTTAAGGATAAATACCTAATTACCACTCGAATAAAGTATCTTCCAATCAATACCCATCCTTGACCATGTTTACCAAGAGAATAATGAGGAAATCATGAAAACATTATCAGGCAGTGTACGACATGAAGCAATAGGTAGCAGAGGTGGCTTTCTTTGACGTATTAATCACTAATCAGGAGCTACTCATAAGAAAACTCACTATTCATAATAAGATGGCCAGCCCCTCTTGTCATATATGATAAGCCTTTTGTTCAGTTACATATTAATTCTCTAGTAAGATATCTGTCACATCATCGATGCAGTAGAGATTATAAAGCTTAGAACAAAGCTCCATTAAAATTTTTATAGCTGGCAAAATATTAACAAAAAATGCACTTACCCATAGTAAGGTCTTTTATGTTTTGCTGTACAACTCCCCAGTTACTGGCATCTCATGCTTATAAGGGCACTCAGCACCTCTTGAGCATTCACCCCGCACATAGAAACTGCAAATATGTGCTCGGTTTCTTTTGTAGCATGGTGTTGTTCTCTGAAGCTTCAAAATAGTGTCATTTGGCCGTAATTTCCCATATGAGGATTCGTAATCTAAACCAGCTCTGGCCTGCAAACCACAAATTTACTTAACTAATCATAACAGAAAAACACAAAAGGAAATAGGAGACGATATCCATCTAAAAGACTAAAGCAAATACATTAGGCACACTTAAAACCACTAAACTCCATCTCATTCACACTGTCAATAAAAGTTTAATTCTACATAAAGATTCCCACATCTATAGAGTTTTAACACACCCATGCATATGCTAGATCGTTCAGCTATTGCAATGATAACTAAAAGGATTGCATTCTGTAAAGCAAACAGTTCAGCTGGAAGTTGCTTGAAGAATTTTATATAAGATGACACTTTAAATAGCTCCACTTTCTTCATAAAATGATACTAAAAGATAACTGTTAAGTATTAAGATATATACCCTGCAGTCATGCTCCTCAGCGATATATACTCTCTATTCACATCACTCTTTGGAATGGCATCATTAGAATTTATATTAAGAGCAGTATCCCGAACTTGAACTCACAATCCATATTCAAGATCTAAAAGGCAGACTTGACAAACATTTTTCAACTTACTGCATGTCTGACAAACCTCAGTTTTCTTATGCCTTGCATCATGACCAGGCCTCCACCTAAATCTTGCATTCTGTATCATAATCTACTTTAGTCTGCAGTGCAAAGTGTACAGAAGCACATGAGAGTAAAACATGGAAATTTTCATTATTGAAGGAACAAAACAAAATTAAATTATCAGAAGACTCGGTGAATCTATAGGTTTAGAACCATAGTCTAAACTAATTAATCTTCATAGACCTTCTTGCCACTTATGAATATGCTGATTTGTGTTATCTCAACCAATGTAGCAGTGAACATACACAGGTTGGGAAATTTTCAAATATGTCCAATTAGTATTACTACTAATGCCTAATGACAGTGTAAATCATTTTGTTATTTCGTAGTGCAAATTCATTTCAAAGAATCTATTCCATCTTTAACTAAGGTTATAGAAGTCACAGAATTAGAAGCATAAAAAACAAACAAAGGTATAATAATAACAAGTCACCTAGTTCTTCCTTGGGAAAAATTGCAAGAGTCAAGCAACAAGCACAGTTAAACAACTTGCCCACTTAGACTCTAATTTGACTACCCATGTTTAACCATTGACAATTTCCTTGGAAAAAATTTTTGATTTACTTATTCTACATTTTCACCTCAAGAAAAGAGGCTCAACCACATTATAGAAAGTTTTTCTGTATTTCACAACTCTGCTCACATCAATATACATGCTGGTTAAAATTATATAGATATGCCTGAAACAAAACCAAAAATACAATTAAAAGGTAAAACCTCTAACAAAACCATACCTTAATATTTCAATACATTGTAAACTTATAATTCAGTTACTGAAAACTTGGGTTTACATTTCCCATATAAAAATACAATTTCAAATCCCCCGACAGGGACTGACATTTGGAGAGAGAGTATTAAAGAGATAAGGATTAATACCATTCGGACATATGGATTGTCACCAAGGCAAGACTCACAATGATAGTGAAGTTGGCGCGTTCCCAACCATCTGCCTTGTGATCTCTTAACAATCTGTGTGCCATTGTATACTTTGCACTAGGTGG